TAATTATGCACCTTGTTAATTGTTATCAGAAAATTGCATAGAGCTACCATGAACTAACCTCAGTGTATTGAAGTTTCAACTCTTAAGATTACTTGGAAATACATAATGTTCAAATCAGAATACCATTTCTCAAAAACATCGTTTGACAGGTTCAGGTTAAACATTTCCAGTATTGGCCAGTCTGAATAAATAAATACTGCATGGTAGCGCATAAAAAAATGTTTGCATGCAGTTTACCGCGAAGTTTGTCTTGCTATCGCATTTTGAATCTTCATAGCTATAAGCACAGTAGGGAAACGGGTGCGGAAAATTTCTCTTATTTTTTTTTTATTCCGTGCTTTTTGGATTTACTGTTAATTCACAAAATTGTTAAACAAGACGGCATATAATACCATAAGGATAAATTTTCCGTACTTAATTCTTTTACCGTGCCAATGAAGATTCAGTTCGCGATATCTAGACAATATTTGCCGTAAACTGTAAAAACGTTTTGTTGGTTTTTTTTATTTATTCAATCAGCCAATACTGGAAATGCTTAACCTGAATACCCATCAACAAAGGTTTTCGAAATCAGCATTTCGAATCCAAGTAGAAACCAGACCGAGAAAAGAGCGAGTAAATTGTTTATCAAATACAATACCTTCTATCCAGGGGCATGGGTCATGCATAAATGGAAACAACGTTCTTCTTACCATAAGAATGGCACGTTCGAATGGGATTTCACCATTGTTCATGTAAGCATCCAGCCATAACAGATCATCTATAGGAACTGCAACCTCGCAAGCCAGGGTCTTTTACCTACGCTCGGGCTCCGGCGAAGACCCTGGTTCCCTCTGGTCACGTGAACCCCCAGATTTTAGGGGTAATTCGAATTGGCGCCTCTTTGCCACTTAGGGAGGAGTGGTAGGGGGAATTCAAGAGCGAAAACGAAAAAACTATATAACTATGCCTATGGAAAATACGGCCATTTACGCTCTGTATTAACCCATATTTTGGGTTTTGTCGGTTTTTGTGTTATCTTTTATGAAATATGTCACCGCTTGAAAGCTTTTTACACCTACTTGATATAATTTGCATGGCTGGAGGTCTGTTTTACACCTTGAAGTGTAGCCATTATTTATCAACGCAAAGAAAATAAAGGTCGAATGCACACTTATACAAAGTCAAAGTTCAGTATTCAGTAGCTCTGAACTCTATGGCACAGCGAAAGGAAACTCCAAAGATGATTTATCCGAAGTCCGCTTTGTTTTCGGAATGCAAGTGTCACCTTTGTGGTTAATTAGTATTATCGACAAGAAGTATTACAACCGAACCTATTCTTAGAGGTAGCTGAATAGCGAAATAAAAACCTGCTTCGTATCGCAGAATTTGTGAATTGTGAAACTCTTGTGTGTGATGATCAATGACGGATTTTCTAATCTAGCTTCCTAAATTAACATTAAATTAAAAGAATGGCGGCCAAAAAAAACACCCAAGACAGTGAAGTCAATCGAATGTTTCATTTAATATTAAAGTACAGCGACTGGAGGGATATCTGCAGAAATGATAAACAACTTCGATATAGCTGTAGGAATTAAGTCATCCTCTCACAAGCACAAATCTTCAGAGAAAATGTTATTTTATCTCATCTCATGGAATTGAAACCATTTGCAATCAACAATATATGATCACTTTCATGAAGGTTTTTTCGCAGATATATCATCAGATACATTACTCATTAGCAACATTATAGACAAATTGTCGCTGCATACGACTATAGCTAAACAAACGCAAGAGGAACATTCACCAAGCACTTACCAGTGAACACATCAGAAGATAAAGAGGAATTATTATGAGCAACAATGATTTGTATGGCTGTAGCACAGGCTACCAAGACTATATATATACCCTAGCTTGAAAGGATTAACAGATGCACATGCAATTTACACTTGTTCTATATTATAATGCAGCTATTCCTACAATTAAGGTTAGTGTCACAAACAATAGTTAAATGTACAATTGAACGCTAAAAATATCCTATTTTAACACATCAATAGCCTCATGGTAATACAAATTAAATTGGTATTCAAAATATATTTGAGGTGTTAAACTTATTGAAAACTATCATTATTCCATTATTCATTTATATAGCACTCATATTATTGTACATCTGACCAGGCATTAAAATAGCGTGTCCTTGTACACACCTTGTGTCCTTGTAAAAGGCGAATGTGCCCTTGTAAATTGAAAAGTGTGTACTTGAAAATATATTAAACTGAAAATATATTAATGTAATCCACGCAAAATGCCCAAAGATTTTGCAAATTCTGTTCTCAGTCTCAGAACTCTGGAAATGCCATTTCAGAGACCCGCTTAAAAGCTCGCGTCTTCGACGCTAAACTTGTGGTTTCGCCACTGGTTCAGTCGTTCTCGCGAGTGCGCATTTATACCAAAAATACGCCTCTGAAGGCAAAGTGTGTCCTTGTAAAAATTCAGTATTTTAACTATTGTCTTTGTCAACTTTAATTGAAATAGCTATATGGTTACAGTATACTGGGTATACTGTATATTTTAGAATTTATATGATTTCAATTTGTGATTAATTGTTTATTTATTTGGTACAAAGTCAAGAACATTTCACAGGCGCAAAATATTTGTCTAATCAGGTAAAATCATTCCCTTTCCATATCTAAACTACACTCAACACATAAACATTGTGTTTTGCATACACTACAGCATAAATTGGGTTGCAAATGTCCTCCAAGGCATCAATATCAGTGCCTGTATCTGAATGCTTTTTCGTAAAAGATATTCTTTCGGTCAGAATTTGCAACCAACTCAAAGCAATTATGCAAGCCAAGCGATTCTTTTATGTGCCTTCGGTCAAGTTTATATGCTGTAGCAGTCATGCAATAACGACTGGTACGTTATAAAATACAACACACAATTAATACACTACGTTTGGCATAAAGTGAACAAAATTGAGATAACAATATAATGGATGATTGAAAAATAACATGTAGAATTAGTTTTGTCTTTTGGTCAAGTTCAGCTACATCGCAATGAGTCGCAATCAATCTCTTCGTTGTCACATTTTAATGGCTGCTGAAAAACATTTACTTGCTGATACTCTGAGTTTTATCACGGCACATAATTTTCGAGCTGGATTGTTTATCAAAGTCGCGTTGGCGATATATCAGTAACGAGCAGCATTACTCATTTACACAAACGCCATGAGTTGGACGTTCTTCTAACGCTCTTTTAGCGAAAAGCATCAAAGGCAAAAGCTGGTAAATTAGCGACTCGCCATATTACCGATTGGAAAAATTGCCAGTATATACACGCCAAAGGACAGCTTTTCTAAGCAAATAAGTGCTTGGGCTTCAAAATAGTGTTTGCACACAAAATATTTATAATAGAAAACTGCAAACAAATAAGAAAAATAATGCATTTTGAATGTTTTTGCATATTACAGTTGAAGTCACTTCTCGTAGCTTTTCTACAGTCACTCCTCGGCGGGCCTTGCAAATACAACATTTAATCGGAAGTTGTAAATTACAACATATCACATTTCAACCACCCTCCCCTATAGGACCTCTAGTTGTTGTCCTAATTTTTAGGAGGTCACGTGACCAGAGGGAACCAGGGTCTTCGCCGGAGCCCGAGGGCAGGTAAAAGACCCTGGCTTGCGAGGTTGCTGTTCAATGAGCTCAGTTAGAGTTGCAGTCGAGTGGGTTTTTGGTGACATCACCACTTATTTTGCTTTCCTAAATTTCAAACCCAATCTTAAGATTGCTTTAAGTCCTGTTGCCAAAATTTATTCTGTATGTGCCCTTTTCAGGAATGCTCTTACCTGCCTTCACGGTTCAACAACAAGTACATTTTTTGGACTTACTCCACCTACTGTTCAAGAATATTTTAATGCAAATAATCTATAAAGTTAAAAATTTTCAGACATACACCTTTTCATAATTTTACATGGCTTTGGCAGCAAATTGTGATCAACCTACAGTTACCAAAATTATAAAATTATGACAATTTTCTTTATTATACACAGAAGTCTTGTATTGAAAGGCAAATAAATAAAATTGGGGGAAATATAATTTAATTTTCCTTATTATAAGTATCAACATTTCTGTAGTTGACCACCATTTGCTGCCCTCACATGGTTAAACCCACCAATATGAAGCATGAGGTGGTATGATATTGGTATACTGACTGCATGTATTGGTGAAAAAATCAATTGACCCAAAAACATTCTAATGCCTTAAAGATGTATTAGGTCAACCCAACATATCCAATTTTGACAGGGGCATATATATACTTTGGCAAATATATATCATAAATTAGTTTATTTCTTATTTTTATTTCTCAAGGATTTTTTACCAAAGGTTAATTTATTTAATTTTGCAACGTTTTGCCTGAAGACGGACATTTAAAATGTCCGAAACGTTGCAAAATTAAATAAATTAACCTTTGGTAAAAAATCCTTGAGAAATAAAAATAAGAAATAAATTATGAACCACAAAGGTGAAAGTTTTAGAAACAAGATCATATAAATTAGTTTTATTAGAAATTCCATTCCTGGAAAAAACCAAGTTAATTAACAACATTCTTGTAATAACATTTTAAATCTAATTATACATATATCTGAACTATGTAATGATTAATGAAGCATATTTAATTATATTGTAAAATTCAGGGTATTTACCCATAATGTTTATCTCAGTTTATTTACCAGTTCCGACATTGCATTCACAATGGCCATGGTCATCGCTTGCTGCTGTACCTGGAACTGTTGTTGCTGTTCCAAAATGCTTTGCTGGAAATTCTGCTGGTTGACTGCTTGTTGTTCTCTCAGCTGCATCTCTCGTTCTTTAAACTCCCTCTCAGCTTCTTCCCTGTTTCTGGTTGCCCTGACAGATTCCTTTAGTACTTCCACCAACTCTCCACTTCTTTTCCGTTTCCCTTCCGGTGTTCCCCCATCTTCTCCTTCCACATTGGTTCGTTTTCTTGTCTCTCCTAGCCTCTCGACCGCTCGCTTCCTCATCTCCGCTACAGTTTCTTTGTCATAATTTTCCTTCTGCCTTTCTTGTTCGTTCTCTTCCTCACATTTCTCCATTCTCTCCATGATATCCAACAATGCCTGGTCTTTCTCCGTGAAGTCAACAACCACACCACTAGCTCTCTTTTCTTGTGCCTCCTTTTTCTTAAAACTTGTCATCATTCTGGTAAATTTCTCTCGCACTGACCTTTGGTTTACTTTCATCCCCATATCTTCCAACCGACAAGCTATGGCTGTCCATGCTGACCCTCTTTCCTTGGAGCCAAAACGAAATCTGTAAGGCTCATGTGTGAGCACTTCCCGTAGTAAACACATTTCGTGATGTTCACGCCAAACAAACAGACCTCGTTTTTCCGTACCGCTGCTGGTAACATTTGTATTTTCCATCTACAAAAAGAAATAGTTTTAAGAATACCATTAATAAATTATCTCAGATTTTAAAGATATAAAGTATAAAAAGCACATTTGTCAAATCTCGAGGCCAGGCAAGGCAAGGCAGAAGTTGTGTCGCTGTGATAATACAGTGAAGAACCAAATTGCTTTACTCCTCCAGCAAATTTATGCTGCTTTAACACGGTAACAGACAATTTAAAGAACTATTAATACTAAAAGTTTTACAAAAAAACAATATTTTTTGTACGAAAGACATATAGCTGCAGAGCTGCCATGTTTAATTTAAAACAAAAATGACAACAAACATTTCAGTGTTGTGTCACGGGGGGGAAAAATACCAAAAATGTTAATTATTTGTATTCACTTCCGTTTCCGCTTCGAGAGTTTATCTATTTTCTTAAAAAGAAAACATAAAAAGTCTTACCTTCCTGATTTTTCAACTCGTAGTGTGGACTACTGGATTTTCAGAAAATCTCGTACTCAAAGTGGCGGCGGCTACGACTTCTTGGCGCAAACCGGACTCACGACAGCAAAAAATGACGCAATTAGCGCGCAATTGACGAATCCCGTAGCGGTAGTCGTACTCGTAGTCAAATCTAAAGCTCCCTATTAAGTAGGGATGTTGCGACCAATTAATCTCAATTTTTTTCTTGAAAATAAGTTAGTCCGCAAACATTAACCTTATTATTTTCACGGATTAAGGATGTGGTGTCCCTCCGGGGTTAAGAAATGGCAGGGTGAAATTTCCTGATACCTCAGTAGGATCTGTCGCAGTATATTCCTGTAGCGTTGGCTTCAGTTTGAAGGGATCAAGAAGACGTAGAATATGTCGACGTAACTTGAATTGGAGTGGTGGCAAATCACACATCTCTTGTCAAAGTAAGGATCGTGTTAAAAAATAGTTATAAAATGTTGACTAGTTGAAATTTAAGTCTTGTTTGGTGGTGGCATAAAAATTAGGCCATGTGATCAGGGTTTGCTGCCGGTCTGACTATAAATTTACCTCAGTCACATGAGACAACTAGAGTGCTTCTATGTTTGACTCTGCCAAACACCACAGGTTTTCTCCTGGGGCAGTAAGTGATGAGTACCGGAGATAGAGTCGAACTGAAAACATTCTCCTGACATGAAACTGTAGCGAAATTATAATCAATGTTAAGAAAGAGAGCGATCTTGTTCCTATACGTGTACACAGTTCTGAAGTTAACCACAAGCTCTATAGTGCTCTGCAAAGCTTACTAATTAATTAAGACACAACAATTTAATATTGGCCGCTTTCAAGATCGTTATACAGCGTAGCAGATAGTTATACAGCGTAGCAGATAGTAATCAACTGTAGAAATGTTGTCGCCCAACAGAACATAGACTTGCTCCAAGTCTCTCTTTCATTGTCATATAGTATCGATCCACTATAGTGTGCATTACATGACGTAGCACGGAGAGGCGGAGCGAGAAAGAGAGACTTGTCAACATCGGAAAATCTCGGTTCAAACTGAACCGAAAATGCAAGTCTTGCTTTAATTGTTTTCTGTCCGTGTTTATATGTATTGATCTAGCACAGTGTAAATAACATGAGTTCCATAATAGTAAATAATACAGAAAGAATTTGAAGGAAAACAATTAAAGCAAGTCTTACATTTTCGGTTCAGTTTCGAACCGAGATTTTCCGAAGTTTGACAAGTCTCTCTTTCTCGCTCCGCCCCTCCGTACTACGTCATGTAATGTACACTATAGTGGATCGATACTTTATGACAATGAAAGAGAGACTTGGAGCAAGTCTAAACAGAGCAAGAATCCATCATGAAACCAAATACTGTACAAGACTACTACATATAACGAACGAAATCTGATAACTGCAAGTTTACCACCATCTGCTTCACAGTCAATAGCCGGTGCTTGGTGAAACCCGTCTGTTTTCCTGTTCGGCAACAGAATGAAATATATAAATAATTATATTCTGTTTGTGTTTAGGAAAACGCTGTCCAAAGCCAAACATTCCACAAAATGGTCGAATATTTGGTGGTAAATTCTTCATCGGCTCGACAGTGCAGTTTTCCTGTAACTCTGGGGGCCAGGGTTTCAATTGACTAGTGCATAACATCACAAGCATCGTATTCACCTGAGTACATTATACCAACACAGAAAAAATCATAATTACTAGATTCCATTGATATTGAAGGAACTAGACTCAGTCCCGAAATATCACATACTCGAACCGAGCTGACCGCGTAGCTCAGTTGGCAGAGCATTGGGCTAGTATTCAAATGATCGTAGGTTCGATTCCCACCGTGGCCAGCCATATTTTTCAAGCTTGCACGGTGTGGATATACACTCAGAGTAACATCACAAGCATCAATCAAAAGACAGTGGAACATTCAAATCCAGGCCTAGAAAATATTTTCCTGCCAGCAAAACTTCCTGTGTAAAGGCGCAATTCCAGTCCTCGCACGAAGCTCCTCGCAGCTCGCTGCGAGTGCATGCATGAGCACTTTCATCCAATCACAAGGCAAAACAGTTCATTTTAATTAGATGCAAGCACTCGCAGCGAGCTGAGAGGAGCTTCGTGCGAGGTCTGGAATTACGCCTTAAGTCAAATATGAAACTTCCTGCATACATCTATTTCATTTAAGGTTGTCCCCCGAGCAAAGCGTGAAAGTCGAATACGAGCGCGAAAGTCTGCTGGGAATCGCTAATAAAAAGCGGAAAAGTCGAATACGAACGCGAAAGGCTGCTGGGAATCGCTAATAAATTCATTCATTTATTAGCGATTGCCAGCAGCCTTTCGCGCTCGTATTCGACTTTTCCGCTTTGTTCGAGGAACAACCTTAATTGAAATAGCTGTATGTAGATTTCAGAGAACGTATGGTGCCGCACAGTGTGATAAACTTCAACCTCGGCACAAGACAATCTCGACTTGCAAAACGCTTTTGTAAACAATAAGTAAATTATATAGCATATGTAAAATGGCAAAAATTTTCTGCAACGTAAGAAAATTTCCTGGGAAGATATTTTGCTAAATATTTCGTGATAGCGATGCTGCTGGTGCTGCCGGACATTTTTCAGCACTGTTCCGATCACTGGATCATGACTGGATGGCATGCAGAACAATGGAATTTTCAAAACAATGAAAAGACAATGGAACATTTTGGTCACTGGATCATGACAGATTCAAGGATTTTCAAGTTTTGTACGAACCCTGTGTCCTACCTGGTTCTACTAAATGTCAACAAATAACCCATACTTTGTGAGAACTTTATCCCTTATAATCAATAAAACTATTGTTAGGTGTTAACCCGATTATGTAACAGACTGAATGGGCATTAATCGATACAATAATTAAATGATTGATTGGAAAACCACAACCAATGTTGTTTTATATTACTAGATTACTCTGAATGTGGTACTTCGTCATTTAAACCAATTCATTCAAGAGCTCGAATTGTAGGTGGAAAAATAGCAAATGAAGGAGACTGGCCTTGGGCAGTCAGGATATTGATTGGAGGTAGGTATATCGCCATCTTTCTTTGCTATCTTTGTTCATCCACACATCACATTTAATTTCGATTTAGATAAGCACGCGTGTGGTGGAACATTAATCAATCAAGAGTTTGTGTTAACTGCAGCTCATTGTTTTGGAGTGGACAAAACCGATCTACATCAGTAAGTATACAATTACCACCATACTGTCATTGCTATAACTAATCACTACCAGCACCATCATTATCATCACCACTACGTTCACCACCGTCAAAAAATCACCACTCCATAACCACCTTCACCATAACCATCATCACTAACGCCATCATCATCATCAAAAAACACTAACCATTCCCATTTTTTTCTAGTGTTAAAGTGTCACTGCAAGACAGGAATCACAGCTGTCTTGCCCTCCACATTCACCATGACTACAACGCTAGAAACTACCGGAATGACATTGCACTGATTAAAATTCCTAAACTAAAACACTTCACACGAAACCAACAAGCAATTTGTTTACCACGTGAAATAAGCATGGCGAATATCGTCAAAGATGGTAACGAGATGTATGCAGTTGGCTGGGGGAGAACAACACCAATCAAACCAAAAGAATTTTCTAGTGTATTACACTTATCAAATGATCTGAAACAAGTCAAGCTACCGTTTAAAGCGAATAAATTCTGTGAAGATAATGTAAAAAATAAGACTGCCAAGGAATTAAAGTGGATGAAGGATATTTGGTATTTTAACAGTACCACACAGTTTTGTGCTGGTGACATCACTGGCCAGCAAGATACATGCCATGGTGATAGTGGTGGTCCAACGATGGTATTTCATACACATCCAGTAAGCGGGAAACGGCGTTGGTTTCAAGTTGGTATTGTAAGCTGGGGGTATGGTTGCGCACAGAAGGGTGAGGTTGGATTCTACACTAAAGTCTCCGCGTATGTTGATTGGATAAGCCAGATAGCACAACTATCCAGCACAAACAGAAACAGAACGCACACGATGATTTTTAAATACAAAGGTAGGCCGCTGAATCTCAAATATAAAGGGCTGGATTTGATCTTTGTGCTGGATACATCAAGTAGTGTCACTAGAGATAAGCTAACTAAACTAGCACGTACAAATTTAAAATATTGCCTACAAATTACAGACAGCACATTTTTACAAAAAGAGTGGACAAGGAATGGCATTTTACACAGATTGTTTAAAGTGTTTGTGGAACGCAAATGCCATGAATACATACCTGTGTTTTGCATGCAAGGTTCTGGTAAATAGATGGAATTTGATATTAGGTTAGCATAGATCGATAATGTGGTGGACAGTTGAATGTTGTAATTGGAGATCTTCAATATGCTTTGCATGTAAGGTTCTGATAAATAGATGGAATTTGATATTAGGTTAGCGTAGATCGAGAATGTGGTGGACAGTTGAATTAATGTTCTTGGAGATCTTCAATAAAAACTGAAAAGTTAAGGTGTTAAATTTGCAATCTTGCAAGTTATTTAGTGAGCTGTTTCATTATTTTGTCTGGTGAAAGATATGATTTTCTTTGAATATTTCTGTCCAGGTAGAACCAATGACTAATATCTTCTCAGTGTGACCATGCATGGGGCCACCAAGGCTATGCCTAATTCTTGGCGAGCAGACACCTTGGCTGAGCTTGATTGCATCAATAGGCAGAAAGTTGCAGGTGTGAGCTTCCTGTAACAACTGACTTGCAATAGCGTCCGATGATCTTTATCTCCATGGACTGCTGCGGTCGGAATGGATGACGACCAGCCACCCTTAATAGCTATTCTTACCTTTAGCTCTGCATGTGATAAATCTTCATTATCTGCTACATTATCTGTGCCCTTCAGGAGACGTACAGTACGAGCTTGTTGCCATGGGCTATAAATCAGAAGTGCTTCGTTCTTTGTGGAGTCACAGATTAAGTATGATCAGATATGTAACTTCATAGGGCTTCGTTTCCTCAAATTTTCCTGGATGAACACGCATGCTGACGCCATGACACTTGCTAGCAAAATGGCGTCCTGAAAAAACACGAACTTTTGCACTTTATTGCGGCCTTTTTTTGATCGAAAGGTTTGGATTAAACAATCAATGTTGAATGTTCAAAGTTGTTGAAAGCAATTAAAGTTGTTGAAAAGGTGCTGAAAGCATTTTTGAAAGCAAGACGCATTACCAAATGACGAATTATATTCGTCATTATGTTCGAGCATAATTTAGCCAAAAGGACGAGTACTGCTATCGAGAAAAGCCTAGTTGCTGCGCGGTTTGCCACTAAAAATTAGCGGCGGGCAGACAATGCCTGGTCTAATGGCGTGCGAAAGGATAATTAAGGATTATATACCACGGGGTGTGGTATATGCATTCTCTGAGTGTCCTGCAGCTTAATTTAGTCTTAACTGAGTTCAGTTATTAGGTTTGCCAATGTTAGATATTAGACACTAGATTTAGAAAAGACGACGTGAAAAACACAATGACGCGGTCTCAATTTCAGCTCAAGATTGAGAGCTAAGGAACTTGATTACTATAATAAATTGAAGCTTTTGAAAATTACCTTTGGAACGGATAAGTTCGAGAAAACCTGATCTGGTATCTGCTATAGATTTTATGTAGCTCCTCCGACGTCGCAATAAGCATTGACGTTGCTCCAATGACATGAAAATCGTGACGTTGTATTCAGAATGACAACGTTGTTTGAGGATACCCCAGGGACCCCAAATTATTCAATCGTTTTGTTTTGCATGAAGAATTTCTTCATTTCGAAGCCGTGAAATCTATCATAAAATTTAACACACAACTTGTATATCTTGATGGCAATGCTGAACCGGTGATGTTTTTTGTAGAGAAGTGCTCAGATCCATCAGGAAACACAAATGCAAATGTGATAGGAAAGGAGTTCTATCATGGCAAGGAAGTAGAGTTTGTCTGTCCCAGAGATTCCATTCTTGTTCCTGCAAGGTCCAAAAATTTGACATGTCAAGATGGACAATGGAGAGGGACGATACCTTCATGTAAAGGTACGATTAATTAGAGGGATTAATGCGCGAATAAAACATGTTGTTGTTTTTGTTGTTGTTCTCGTCATTGTTGTTTATGCTGCTTCTGCTGTTACGGATGTTGTCTGTTGACATTATTGTTGGTGGTAGTTTTTTGTTTTGCTGTCGTTTTTGCTTTTGGCGTTGTTGTCTTTATCAAAGTAGTAGTTTTCCTGTTATAACTTTTTATCTAGATTTCTATCTCTTAGTTGCTAGGTTGTTGTTGTTTTTCTTGCTTTTGTCTTTACGTTTTTTAATATTTGTGGTTGTTACTAGTGCTGTTGTTATAGTCGTCATCGTGGTTGTTGTTGTTACTGTTGCTGTTTTTGTTTTTCTTGGTATTGTTGTTGTTGTCGTTGTCGTTGTTGCTGCCATTCTCGTTGTCGTTGTCGTTGTCGTTGTCGTTGTCGTTGTCGTTGCCGTTGCCGTTGCCGTTGTCGTTGTCGTTGTTGTTGTCGTTGTTGTCGTTGTTGTCGTTGTTGTCGTTGTCGTTGTTGTTGTTGTTGTTGTGGTTGTTGTTGTTGTTGTTGCTAAAATCGTTAAATTATTCATTGTTGTGTTTGTTTGTTTGTTTGTTTGTTTGTTTGTTTGTTTGTTTGTTTGTTTGTTTGTTTGTTTGTTTGTTTGTTTGTTTGTTTGGTTGTTTGCTTGCTTGGTCGCTTGTTTGTTTGCTTGCTTGCTTGCTTATTCTCGGTACTTATATTCTCACATTTCCACGTTTTGACCCTTCCCCATGTCCTTTTTCTATGAGTCTCGTTTTAAAATATTTGCTATTTTTAGCTTCATGTCCGTCCTTGACACAACTATCGGACGGTTATAAATCGAGTAGAAGTCGAACACATGGTTCTTCGGTTCAATTTCGCTGCTCCTATGGTAATAAACTGGTTGGTTCAGCTAGAGTGGTGTGCAATGATGGTAGATGGTCAAACCAAATGCCTAAATGCCTAGGTACGTTACCAGTTTTCACGAGAATAAGCATAAGGCCGAGGTCAAACAAAGGCGAGAGTTCCGTGAGAGTTTTCTCAACTCGTTAATGTACGCTTATTCACCCTATTCATTTGGTTGACTTTTCTTTATTTAATTTCCGCCATAGCAATTTTTTTCCAATTTCGTTTAAAAATTGACCAACTATTTTGCCAAAATATTTTACATTTTGATCAACTTTTTAAACTTAAAAATTATGGGGGGGGGGTGTCTCACCGACACACCTCCCCGGGTATCGACGACGTCCCTGCCTTTATTTTGACAAGAATTGCAACATGTGTATCTGATAACTGTAGATTTCGGATTTGTTCATGCAGATATATAGAGGATATTACTCGGCGGCGCGAAGATATGACTTTTATCTTCGAGTGGTGAAAACAATATTTTACGAACGAGCGCGGCGAGTGAGTAAAAGAATGTTTTTAATGCGAGAAGTTAAAAGTCATATCTTCAAGCCACCGTGTAATGTTCTGTTTATTATATAGTCCCAAGCAAAAATTGTGAAATTTCACGCTCAAAAGCAAATTGGAAAAAGGCACGTGATCGATATCTTCACTATGGAAAATATCTCACTGTGTATTTTCCATGCAGTATCTCACTTTCTACTATATAATAAATTTTGATAACATTCTTTTTAATTCTATAGCCATGTGCAATAGAATTCGAAGCACTGGAAATGGATGGGTTTACGGAAGGGGTAATTTAGAAGGAGATAAGCTGAGTTTCCGTTGCAGAACTGATTATATTTTGGATGGCGAGCAGTTTATCAAATGCACTGGGAATAGGCGATGGAATGCAACGAAACCAACGTGTAGAGGTTGGTAGAAGACCTGTATATGACGGGGAAAGGGAATGGTTTTGGCAAGTGGCGATAATTGGGATCTCGGCAGCAAACAAATTGATCTTTACTATCTTAACTAATGAATGGCTTCTTTTTTGTGTCCGTAGCACCATGTAGAAAGCTCAACGCACGAGCTCATTCAAGAATCACAAAAGGAGGTTTTAGACATAAAGAAGATATCAAATTTCAATGTAATCCAGACTATTACCTGCACGGAAGTAACGTCTTGACCTGTTCAGATGGAACATGGAATGGTGCTCTTCCGACTTGTTTAGGTATAAGTGTAAAGCACGACCAGAAGTTGATTCATGATCTTTGTCTATATTGAGTCATAACCAGTGTGGCCAGTTTATACTTAACCCCTTTCTGACACTTTCCAGGCAACATTTTTGCCATTCCTTCCCCGTTTAATAAAATCTGGAAATACAGAAACTATGTGCGTTAAGGATGGTTTACACTATCAAAATTTCTGTGATCACAGCAGGAATTTTGTAGAAGGATTCGTAGAAAATGTTTGAAGGAACTGACTCAATGTTATACCCTGAATCAATTCCTTCAAAATTTAAACATTTCTTACACATCTTTCGAAAATGTATAAATACGCAGACAGTTCCCTCAAATATTTTAATAAATCTTTCAAAACTTAGAATTTACCTATGCAAATCCTTCTGTTATCACAGAAACTTTGATAGCATTATTAATTTGTAATGTAAATTTACGTCTTGCTATGTTTTAAGTGTTTTGGGGTTGTAGTAATTGTATTTTGTCAAAATTCTTAGAAACGGACCCACCAAAAATGTGCATAAAATAGTACAGACTATAGCAAGGCTCTTTCAGGGAAAGCATGATTTAATGATTCATAATCCAATACCCTGGAGGTGGAATTGATTTTAGCGAACGAGCAAATTATGAAGAAACAAAGAAATACTTTGGGTTCTCTTATTCATCTCCCTCCCAGCGCTCTACTAGAAAATCTAGTTATGCTTATTGTATCCCTAAACGTAATGTTTAATATCTTGTTTCTCTGCTTTTTCTTGGTGTCATTGGTATTTTAATCAATATGATATAACTCAATGTACTCAATGTATGTCCATTAATTCTATTTCCCGATTAAAATACTGGCATGTTTGAATTATTGAGATCATAACTTCTACAACTGTTAAAATGAGATCAAGTGAACAAAAAGCAGCCAAACACGTTAGTATATTACACAAATAACTTTATAACTTTTAAATCTAAGTGAAGCCAGGAGGGCTGTAAGAAGTTAACTTAGATACATAACGTATACCTATACTAATTTTGAAAGAATTTAAGCAAACCACAGGTTTTTAGATCTGCTGATAGTCGTGGTAGACTGTTTCACAGATTTGCAGATCTGACAAAGAACGACTTTTACTCTTTCTAACTCCAGATTATTTTACTCTGTCTAACGCCTGACGGTTTTACTCGTCAGGGGGAGAGTGCTGCCACTCAATGGGTTAACATTATATTCAGGATGACAACGTTGTTGAGGATACCTCTGCGACCACAAATTATTCAAACGTTTTGTTTTGCATAATGAATTTTTTTATTTCGAAGGCATGTTTTCTAAACGAGTCTATTATAAAATTTAACACACAAGTTCTATATCTTGACGGCAATGCTGAACCTGTGATGTTTTTTTTTGTAGAGAAGTGCTCAGATCCATCAGGAAACACGAATGCAAATGTGATAGGCAAGGAGTTCTTTCATGGCAAGAAAGTCGAGTTTGTCTGTCCCAGAGATTCCATTCTTGTTCCTGCAAGTTCCAGAAGGTTGACATGTCAAAATGGACAATGGAGGGGGACGATACCTTCATGTAAAGGTACGGTGGAGTAGAGGGATTATTACGCGAATAAAACGTGTTGTTGTTCTCGTTATTGTTGTTTATACCATTGTTCTTGTACTGTTCCTGCTTGTTGCGGATGTTGTCTGTCAATATTATTGGTGGTGGTACTTTTTTTATTGTTCCTTCTTGCTTGCTTGTGTATTCTCGGTACTTATATTCTCGCAATTCCACGTTTTGGCCCTTTCCTATCTCCTTTCTCTATGAATCTCGTTTTAAAATATTTGCTATTTTTAGCTTCATGTCCGTCCTTACCACAACTATCCGACGGTTCTAAATCGAGTAGAAGTCAAACACATGGTTCTTCAGTTCAATTTCACTGCTCCCATGGTCATAAACTGGTTGGTTCAGCTAGAGTGGTGTGCAATGATGGCAGATGGTCAAACCAAATGCCTAAATGCCTAGGTACGTTACTAGTTCTCACGAGAATAAGTATAAGAACGAGGTCAAACGAAGGTGAGAGTTCCATGAGAACTAGCGAGAGCTTGCGTGAGAGTTTTCCCAACTCGTTAATGTATGCTTATTCACCCTATTCATTTGGTTGACTTTTCTTTAATTTTTTATTTAATTTCCGCCATAGCAATTCTTTTCCAATTTCGTTTAAAAATTGACCAATTATTTTGACAATATATTTTACATTTTGACCAACTATTTAAACTTAAAAATTATTGGGGGGTCTCACACCGATACACCTCCCCGGGTATCGACGACGTCCCTGCCTATATTTTGACTAGAATTTCAACATGTGTATCTGATAATTGTAGATTTTCGATTTGTTCATGCAGATATATAAAGGATTTTACACGGCGGCGCGAAGATATGACTTTTATCTTCGAGTGGTGAAAACAATATTTTACGAACGAGCGCGGCGAGTGACTAAAATATTATTTTTAATACGAGAAGATGAAAGTCATATCTTCAAGCCACCGTGTAATGTTGTGTTTATTATACAGTCCCAAGCAAAAAAATGCGAAATTTCACGCTCAAAAGCAAATTGGAAAAAGGCACGTGATCGATAACTTAACCAGTGAAGATATGGAAAATATCTCACTGTGTATTTTTCAGTATCTCACTCTCCACTATATAATAAATTTTGATAACATTCTTTTTAATGCTATAGCCATATGCAATACAATTCGAAGCATTGGAAATGGATGGGTTTACGGAAGGGGTAATTTAGAAGGAGATAAGCTGAGTTTCCGTTGCAGAACTGATTATATTTTGGATGGCGAGCAGTTTATCAAATGCACTGGGAATAGGCGATGGAATGCAACGAAACCAACGTGTAGAGGTTGGTAGAAGACCTGTATATGACGGGGGGAGGGAATGGTTTTGGCAAGTGGCGATAATTGGGATCTCGGCAGCAAACAAATTTACCTTCACTATCTTAACTAATGAATGGCTTCTTTTTTTGTGTCCGTAGCACCGTGTAGAAAGCTCAACGCACGAGCTCATTCAAGAATCACAAAAGGAGGTTTTAGACATAACGAGGATATGAAATTTGAATGTGATCCAGACTATTACCTGCACGGAAGGAATGTCTTGACCTGTTCAGGTGGAACATGGAATGGTGCTCCTCCGACCTGTTTAGGTATAAGTAGAAAGCACGACCAGAAGATCTTTGTCTATGTTGAGTCATAACCAGAGTGGCCAGTTTATACTCTATTCCTTTATGGCACTTTCCAGGCAACATTTATGCCATTCCTCCCCCGTTTAATGAAATCTAAATATACAGAAACTATGTGTGTTAATTTAAGGATGGTTTACACTATCAAAGTTTCTGTAATCACAGTAGGAATTTTGTAGAAGGATTCGTAAGAAATGTTTGAAGGAATTGACGCAGTGTTTATATATACACTGAATCAATTCCTTCAAAATTTAAATTCGTAAACAGTTCCCTCAAATATTTTAATAAATCTTTCAAAACTTAGGATTTACATATGCAAATCCTACTGTGATCACAGAAACTTTGATAGCATAAACCATTCGTGTTATGCTTTCATTATTTTTTAATGTAAATTTACGTCTTGCTACGTTTTAGTAATTGTATTCTGTCAAGATGTTTAAAAATAGACCACTCCCCTCTCCCTCTAAAAAATGTACATAAAATAGTACAGACAATAGCAAGGCTCTTTCAGGGAAAGCATGGTTAATAGGTTTATACCCTGCAGGAGGTGAAATTGGTTTCAGCGAACAAGAAAACTATGGAGAAACAAATAGAAGTACTTTGGGCTCTCTTATTCATCTCCCTTCCACTTCCACTTCGACCCTGTGCTCTAATAGAAAATCTAGTTCTGTCTTTTGTAGCCCTAAACGTAATTAATGTCTAATATCTTGTTTCCCCATATGTTATTGTATTAAACAAAATTCAGTTCTGAATTGAGAATTTTTTTAATGAATGATGTCTCTGAACGAAAATTCTTTCAATACAATACATCCAATTAATTTTGTTTACTTCTTAAACGTTTCATTATCACTATGAATGTTTTAGCGCTATTTTATAGGAGACCAGTGCTTTTTCATGGTGTCATTTAATCAATATGATATAACTCAATATACTCAATGTATGTCCACTAATTCTCTTTCTCGATGAAAATATTGGCAGATTTGAATTATTGAGATCATTACCTCTACAACTGTTAAAAAATTTGTGGCTTGGCGGAACCATGGATAATAAAATAAATGGATAGAAAACTAGCTGATGTGATCTAATGTTTTCAATGGGCTGACGGCGTGGTTGGATGTTGAAACCTAGTTGCAAACCAAATTCTAAAAACGGCATGTTTAGCAATAATACAGTTAAACATTTTAGTCAAAGACCAAATGAATATAACTACGTCATTCTACGATGAAATCTCTAAGTATTCCCAGTCAATGTTAGCAAATATTTCAAGCGCTAAACAGTGAAAAATGCATCCAAAATTTCGTTAAAATTGGGGGCGCCAATTTCGTAGCTACAAATGTAAAAAAATACAATACAAAGACGAAAAACATTTACTTTGAATACTTTGTCGTGGCTTAGGCATGTTTTTTAAAACAATTAGACCAGTTGATGCTTCAATATTACTCTTTTAAAGCGGAAAGTAAAGCGAAACAAAAGAATGCTGAGAACTTTGCAATATGTGTGACGTCACAGATTGCAACTATATGTTGTTTTTGCTTACGTCAGCTAGAGTCCTATCCATTTATTTTATAATCCATGTCGGAACTACAGCTTCGTTTGGTAAAAGAAATTGCTCGTCTGTAAACGAAACAAACCGGGAAGACATTTTGTTTTGGTCCGGAGATGAATCGTGCAAGGATGTCCGAAGCTGAGCAACCATTCAAATTACGCGAAAAGCACTTTCCGCCTCCCGATATATATGCTAATGCTGATTATATAGTTTTTTTTTTATCAAACATTATACATGTATATACGTCTTAATCTTCAGCTCCTTGCAGACGGTTTGGTGTGCAACCATTCCGTGGTGGTTATATAAGGCGAGATGGTTACAGACATAATGAGGAAGTCACATTTGGATGTAGAGATCCTTTGGTTATTGATGGTCAGGTTACCTTACGTTGCAATGATGGGACATGGAATAGCAGACTACCTACCTGTGGAGGTTTGTGTATATTCCTAAAGGGTCGAATGTTGACCGTCTAAAACAACGTGATAACCCGAAACACCATCTTCGTTCTTTCCTTAGTCTTCAACCCGGAAGATGCAGTTGGCAATATATCTCATTTCAAATATTTACGATTATTGGACGTGGTTGGGCAAAACATCGTGATTTGTCAGTAGCGTGCACATCAATAAATGTTTCGATTCAGCAATATCCGCGTTCAATAATTGACTAACCGTACTATTTCATATTTCGCATGCAATTATTCACTATAATTTCTGTTATTCGTATTGCATTGCACGAGTTTTTAAAGATTAACAAGCCAGTGCAACACAAATCATCCCATTGTCAGCCGAAACTGATCAACTTGTCTTG